CCCTTCTCCCGACCTGTAATAGTCCCTCAAGCAACTGGGATATCGCTCGCCAATGGTCGCTGCCAAATAGCACTGTAAGTAATGTACCACGAAGTGCAGGGCAGATTCTAAAGCCTCGTCAATCCCTGAATCTGGGGGCTTTCAACGAGAGGACCCTGATGCAGGTAAGTCAACAAGCTTGTCTGGCGCGTACAATGGAATCCTTAGGGATCGATATTTGCTGTGTGTCGGAGAACAGAATCCAGGATCCTACTATTATAAGCTACTTGAGAGCGCCAGATATGTCTTCGAGATACGTTCTTCGCACATCAGGCGACGATGAAGCTCGAGCAGTAGGAGAACGCGGGGTAGGTATTGTACTCAGTAACGGGGCTGAGTTCTCTCTTATCAATAGGATCCCCGTCAACAATCGTTTATGGACAGTGCGCCTCCAGAGTTCAATCAGCTTCTGGAAGGGGAGCAATATCAAAAGGTGTTTGTTCATCACATCGGCATATGCACCGACCGTTTGCAGTTCTGATATTCATAAGGACACTTTCTGAGTTGAACAGGCCGATCTCGTTTAGATGAGTCGAGCTCCGGCAAAGTTGTACTTACAGGTGATTCCAGCGAGCAAGTTGGAAAACTGAGCGCATCGGAAGCTTGCCTTGATGGTCATTGCGGTCTACCGTGCCATCGAACAGATAACGGTGATCGACTTCTTCAGTTCTGCGCAGATCATCTGTTCCTATTTAGCACCATCTTCCGACACAGCTCTCGACGGACGGCAACGTGGCACTCCAGTTCAACTAGTACGCCAACTTAAATAGACCATATAGAGGTAAGCTACCGTTGGCGTTGCTCAGTGCAAAATTGCAGGTCCCATTGGACTACTTGCGTTGAGTCTGACCGCATATCAGTTTTGATGCAATTCACTCTTCGACGACAAAACCAGCAAACTCGGATAGCTCATCACCGACTACCTGTTCCAGCCGTTCTTGTACGCCATGAATCAGCGCTAGTGCGTGGGCTAAGCGCGCCTCAACAATAGCAAGTGAAATGGAAGTAACATCTGAGTCAGGGAATAGTCAAAGACCGTTCCGATTGATAGGCAATATGGGAGTTCGGCGAACTCCAGTTAGTAAGAAGAAGGAAATGCTCAGCGCAGTGAATTAACCAGAAAACAACGAAAACGACCTGTAAATTACTTTTCAGAAATCATAATTTTTCAAAATAACCTACTTCAGCTTCTTCTTCGCATCACTGAAACTATCCGCCACAAAATAGATTGGTTGATATTGTGTGATCGGGTAAGATTGAGCGGAAGTGCGAACCGGATCAAATTCCAATCGTTCCGGTTTGTCTGATAAAGCGTACTGTAAAGAGAGAGAAAAAAATAGAGGAATGGAGGACAATTTGAATAGATTGTTGTTCAATAGTATTCACCTGAAATGTGTTATATGTGCGTAGTGGAAGATTTGATTCAATCTCAAATGTGAATTCATCGAGTGGATAGCAAATAAAGCATGAACTGAAAAGCTAGGAAGTATTGGACACGTGTTTCAACCTGGTTAGGACCTCACAGGCAGAACGCCGGCACTGTTGATGAGATCCAATCAAGTCGAAATGGTTGTCTAGTGTTTCCTAGCTTTTCAGTTCACGTCGCATTTACCGTATACAAGACGATTTCACTTTTGAAATGGGAATGTTATATAAGATACTAGGAGAGAAATATTTATAATTTGTTTTTTGTTCAGTAGTTGCTTGATCAATTGACTGAATGATCCATTGCGTAGCATGTTGACTCCAAGGCTTCTTTCTCACTAACATTCGAAATCATTCATTTAAAGCTCGTACACTGAACATAACACTCGATACATTAACGAATTTCAATCAGAGAAAAGGCTGAAAAAGTGCTTTCCGTATTAAAAACTCACCTGAAGTTCGCCATATGAACTCAAAAGTCCGGCCCCGTAAGCTCGAATACCATCTTGTTGCTTGCACAAGCCAAACTCAACAGTGAACCAGTAACACTGTACGGAAATAGGGGAATAAAAATGGATTGATCGTATACTTTTCCCGAATACCGTGACTACTCCACACGCATTATTATCGTATGCACAGTGGGTATTTTGTCCATGTGTGTGTGTGTGCGTGTGACCCTCACTCATTGAGAAACTATAGTTGTCTGTTGACAAAGTATTGAAAATCGGTTCTCGTAGCTCGGGTGCACTGAATTCACCGAATTCAAAGCACGTCAGAGAATTTCTCGAGGTTTGGCACTCTTCAAACAATTCACTAAACAGGCACATCAAGCTGGATCACGCGTACACGTCAACGCAACTCAAAGATCAAATGACCCGACCAAAAAACGGTCACGCAGTCACCTGAGAACGGACCGAAACCGCGATCCTGGCGGAAGGACAACTCACCCCCCCCCCCGCTTGCAGCAACTTAATGGTGAACCGAGTCAAACACAGTTAGGACAAGGGACAACAACAGTCGAACGGCTCTCAGAAAAGATCCTCATCAATGGCGCTTGCTATCGTCTCATCTAAAAGTTTGATAGATATTGGTAGAGATTATACAGATGATACGAGCTACTACGTCCCATACACTAATTCACTCCGTGTACAACAGAGGCAACCAGGAAAAACTACTCCAAACCCTCTTCGAAGTAATCAGACCGTACCGGGGATCGTCTTTGCATAAATACACTGAAAACCGAGCTAATAAAGCCGTAGAATAAAACCTGAAGGAAACACGAATGGATGTTTCATACAAGCAAGGTCTGATATCAGACATGAGAAATATGTACGGACCAGGCAAACCACAGCCGCCGAGGGCTTTCAAATAAGCTCAACGTTCGGTCAGCTGTCACTTTACAGGCTATGGTCACTGAACCTACCTATTCGCACCAACCATAACTAAACATATGGTATCACCATCAAAGGCATGGTTTTTGGTTAGCTGCTAATTTGCGGAATATAAGGTGGAAGTCAGGCGCCGCATGGCTGATCAACGCACTTGAATATCGTACCAAGCAAGATGTTTCGTATAGGTATCAAAAGTGGAATAAATCATCATATCGACAATCCAGCCTCATTTAAACATCAACGGTTGCTTTAGAAATTTGGTTAAAGTGCGACTGTACTGAAAGATATTTCGATCCATGGCGTAGCGGCATCGGGATTATATCAAGGCACGCGTTCACATTTCTCCATTATTGTTACACTACTCATCAGTAGTGTACATATATCTCGTGAATGTTAAAGTTTCATGGAGGGAATTCGTTGTGCATGGGGCAAATGAAGCGTTAACTGAAATGCTGTACAGCTGATTCGACCTGATCGGGTTGTGAAAGTTTCCAACTGAGACATAATCCCAGAAGCTAGTGCTGAGATGAGGGAGGTGCGATGCCCGCAACAACCTTGAAACGATGAGTTGTGACACCGTGTAAATGGAAAAAGGAAAAACGGTCTGATCAGCGGCTTGGTTTTCGTGTGGGTAGCATGCTTACGTTCTGTCTGTGTGGTTCTGGCTCTTGTTCTCAGTTGGGTCGATTGGTTAGTACTGCTAATGAGAGCCAACCAGGTCGAAATAGCCGTCTAGTGCTTCCAAGCCCTTTAGTTCGCGCTTCACTTGCTCCGCACATAACGAAACTCACCAGATAACAGCTAGTTTAGTCCATACAAGTCTCAAAACCTCACGATCTTCACCGCGAGTTTTCGCTCAAACTGCTGATCGTCGCGTCTATGGATAAGGGTCATAGATTCCAACTAAAATGTTTGCAGTTCTGACAGAGGCACAAGATTTTCAACAATTGTGCTTGTCCCACGACGGACCGAGCAGCTTTTCAGTGCACTCGGCTCTCTAGCACATATCGAAAAACATTTGCAATATATCGTAATATAAATAGATGCTTTTACTTCCTTTTCTGTCGATTGGTTATCGAAATTTACAATAAATTTTCCAAAAAGGCGGCTGGGACTGTACTAAAGCTGCCTGGGGAGGACAGACAACAGGAAGATGAGCGATGGCGGCGGGGTTCGAGCCCAGGACCCCACCGGTTATAATTACAACCCTACCAACGACCGCCAGCACCCACTAACGTGCATCTACATGCAAGCAATTAGCTGTACCGTAAATCGAAAAAGCAAGGAATTTCACCTCCATGAGAATAGGAATAAAACAGAAAAGACACATGAAAGGACAATCAACTGGTTTAAGCATAACCAAGTTACATTGACTGATTACAAAGAATAAATGTCGTTTTATACCGAGTATGAAATTTGCTGAGTAGGCTGAGAAAGTAATCTTTTTTCTCACAGTACGAAGCGGGAAATACTTACGGTTGCCAATTTCGTGATATCCTCATCACTAGCACCCAGTGAAGCCAAACCGAGTTCCTGTGAGAACTGTGCGAACTCGGCATCCGCTAGTAGTGGAACGTGACCGAGTAGTTCGTGACAAACATCCGGCTCTGGCGTGTACGTTGGACAAGACGAATGTCGAATGTACTGGGTGCAATGGAACACACGAAATGCCAAACCGGCCAAAAAGTCTCGAGACGAGAGCATACCCGCAACTGGACGAAGGGTAAATCCGGTGCATTCTGAGTTGGGTAAAACAGAAAGGGAGAGAGATTAACCTAAATTTTAAAGGAAATCACTGCTTGCTTTCCTGCTATGTCGCACGCCTCCGGAACTGCGACATGGCTTGTTAGTCAGCAGTAGATGTAGTATGAAAAATCGGTTGGGAGTTCTGTGGAAAAGTAAACCGGATAGATGAAAAGTAAGGTGTCACTCCCATCACATGTTCCCGATGTTTGTAGTTATCTACTATTTATGTATAACGGAATTTAGAAATACCGTTCAGCTTATCCTTTATGTACCCAAGACATTGAAATCTTTGATGATATCCTCAGCTTAATATTGGCACATTGAAACCGGTATTCAGCTCCTTTTCCAGTTTCAGTATCATCAAAACAGTACACAGTATCATGTTCGCGTCACACTAGGTGAAACGCCATTGGCTGAGTGCGACATTGTAGGCTGGCTGGTCAATGGCCGTCCCGAACATCGGTTAACAACTAAGTGAGTAAGTATCAGGAATTGCGACATATTGGGCGGGGTGACATCGCAAGGTCAGAAACTATGTTATTACGCAATCAGTTAGTTTGAATTTTCCAAAAAGTGGGGAGATATTGGAAAATGCGACTTCTCAGGGGTGTGACATAGTAGGAGATTGATTGTGTATTGTTTTGCAGTCAGTTCTGTGAGAAAATAATTTGAACTTTAGATTTAATTTCAACTGTTTCACCGATAGCCTTAGGTAAAATTATCACATGAAATTGAAATTTCACCACAGACGATTGAGAATAAGGTGAATGAATGAATTTCTTTTTAATTTCTTTTTGATTTATTGAATATACAAATGTACAGACGACATTCAGGAAGGGGGCCTCTGCGGTGCAAAGTCTGTCTGGGAAGACGGGTGGCGATGAAATGGTTCAAACCCGGAAATCATAGGTCACAGTTTGATGACCTAACCCGTACTTACAATCTTTACAATTTCCTATGAGGATAAATGTTTTTCTTTCGGATTGCTCTCATCCCTCATTTTTTCATTGAATCTTGTAATTGCTAGGAATTAATTAACTTTGTTATCCTCCTTTGAGAGTAAGCGAACTACTGTCCATGATTCGAACACAGTCCATTCCAATCGGCTGACCCGGATACAACTGCCCTATTGAAGGATGAGCGAATTGATTGATGCGTTCTACCTCGTGACCTGAATAGCCTCACAGAACTGTTTGGTGAGCAACTTGAACGAGAAGAGTCAAAATCTTTGTCATGAGATTATACCTTTTTCCATTTAAGATGTCCGAAATCCAATTTAAGCTGTCGCAATATGAATTTAAGATGCCCGAGTATCAATTTAAGATGTCACGTTGCTCTGTTTTCACTCTGTACTGTGCAAGATACTATACACATGGCAACATGATATCTTAAATTCATGTTGTGACATCTTAACTTGGATTTCGGACATCTTAAACTGGAAAAGGTATAGTCTGACAGGGTGCTTAATGGCTAGGCATTTCCGGTCTGCTCGGTTTTCCGTCCAGTTGATGCATACGGGTCACCACTATCTCGGTGCGCGCTCGCCCCAGTTGTTTTTTCCTCAGTATACTCGTTTGGCATTGTTGTTGTTGTTGTTGTTGTTGATGTTGTTGTTGTTGTTGTTGAACTCTTCGTTATTTTTCCTCAATCATTATGCAGTTGGTAAACAATTAATCTTCCGTGGAAATTTGATATTTTTGGTAGGTAGCTGATATGGGGAGACCAGAAAAAGAAATTTGGCAGCTAACTGGTTGCAGTTAGTTCGTAGAATACAGTTTCTGAGACGTACGAGAAAGATACAAAATTTTTGGTTACGTTTGGCAGAATCTTCATGATGACGAAATGACTGTTGAGGTGCAAAAAAAATCAAAGATAAGCATTGATTGTCCGATCACTCTTCATCTATAACATTTGATTGCGGGCGCCATTAATATTTCACTGTTTACATCTTCCGGAAACTTCTTGTTCTCAGCGTTTTATTTCTTCTGCTTTCCTAATCTGTTGTAACCCACCCCACNCCCCACACCAACCACAGAGAATCTCTTTGCCATGAATTTTTCCCTCTGTCCTCATCTGTTGAGCCTGGAGAATTTATTAACCTCTCTGCACCTTGCTGGTCCGTTTACGCGTCCAGTCTTACCTTGTCCTGTTTCGGATCGTGCAACCAAGCCAACCTCTGTGTTGACCACCCTTTACTACCCAGTTCCGGTGATTGGTGGCCCGGATTGTCTGAATACCACTATCCTTGTAAATCCATGGCATTCCTTTTCGTGGCCGCCTTGTGAACATCCCTGTTCAAAATCGTGCGCCTCACCCATACACATATACTTGAAACCGAATAGTCTTAAACTGTCTTAAACTGCTTTGTTTATACACGTCTGAACTTTGACTTGGAGTTTATAAGTATGTGCATCACTCAATTAGTGGACCACGGTTTGGTACATTCGATTGTGCTAATACCAGCCGTATAATTGTACAAGCGTAACAATGGCTGGCACCTTTGAAAATCCGAATCGGCTAATCCAAACATTCGCCATCCAAATTGATTAAGCCATTCGCACAAAGTGATAACCGTCGACCGTGTAGCTCCGGGGTAAAGGTTTGAAGTCCCAACCCGAAGGGTTGCGGTTTGAGTCTTAATAGGGACACACAAAGTAGGCACTACTGGCGAGTCCTAAACAGGACGAAACAGCTGTCCCGTACTCTTTGTCGGTTATCAGAAACATTTCCACTGGGTTTAAATGCATTCAAAATGTGGGGAATTAACGATCTCCCAGGCAGTGAAACCCACACTGGTGCCTGTGAAAATCCAAATGGGCTAATCCAAACATTCGCCATCTGAAAAGTGCAATTGTTGGTTTAAGCACGACATACATCCGAATTCAACAGAGCGGCAAATGAAAACAAAAATGTTATCATCTTTTTGATGAAATCTGAACGGGCCATTATTCCAGTCTGTTTGTGTTTTACTTAACCACAGTGTTATTTTTGAATGAAGCAGATTGGCGCAAAAACGGCACACAAGACGTGTGTGTGTGTGTGTGTGTGTGCGCATGCGCTGACTTACTTTTCAANTTTCAAGTAGTCGGAAACGTCTTGCAACTGGGGAATATGGTCCCGACGAAATCCACAATTTGCCTGTAACAACGGGAAGACGTGATTGAATTCACGACACGCGTGCGTCGGGTATAGTGCGACGAGCTGATCAAACACGTGACCCCATGTATCGATTTCCTCTTTGGTGTATGTAATCCGTGGAATTGGCTCACCGCTAAGAAGAGCAAAGTGTACGAATATCGGTTATTTTTCAAGGAGATTTCCTAATCGAGCGAAGCGATCAGATTTCACGTACAATTTTCCAAGATATGAAACAATACTAATATACTCCTAGGAGGGAGGGAAGGGAATATAAACTGTTTTGCTTTCCAGTAAAATGTTGAAATTTTGAAGGTGAAAATCAGCTATTGCAGTTATGAAAAAAAAAAACGGTTCAGTTATAGCGAGTTCGTCTTTTTTGTCTTTCATTTGTACTTGCTTTTTTATTGAATACACAAAGATANATTTTCAGCTAGATGAACGAGATCAATCAAAGGACTACCGTGCAACACACAATGAGGAATTTTAATCAGTGGGGTAGGATTCGAACACACGTCCTCCGAGGGTGATAAGCTGGTTACGTTACCACCGGACCACCACCTCCTGGTCAATCAAATCTTGCAGTCTTTCGACTGCGCTTGTTCCGATGTGCCTTCTGGACCGATTGTAAATGTGTGCAAATACGGACAACGGTCGGACACCCTAGACAACAGTGTTGAAAAAAGGAGCCCTGGAAGTACATACTTAGGGATGCGAAACATTTGAGTGTATGACTTTTATAAACCCATGCTTATATTTCAACCAAAAACAGTCGCTCAAAACGGTTGCATTCCAGAACGATTGTTAGTGCACAGCATCTATCTCAACGATTCACGAATGGTAACTGTGTACACTTAACCCAAGCTGTACTGCTTGAACCGGAAAACAATTGATCCGTTCGCTTCTGTATGACTATCTGTATTTGTTTTCTTTTATTACTTTTTTTTCATTTCACTCCAGGTACAATATTTTCAACTGGATATGAATTCCTGCATGTTCCTTAACTAAGACCTATCACAGCCTTTAGTGATTTTTCGTTCACACGTCTTCCGGGACCCTTCACCTCCTATTTGGGACAAAATTCTCTCCTTCATGACCGGACTCCAATGCTCACTGGTTCATGAAATCGTCTCCATATGTTTGGTGTAGACTGGCGCGTTTTCACAACTTTTTTTATTATTTTTTTCCAGCAGTTTTCACTTCGGTTTCATTCATTTGCAGTTCTTCTCCCAAAGACTCAGTATGATCGGGGTGGGTGTCTTCGGTCGCTTGTATCTCACAAAGTGTTCCTATGAGATCACATGTATCAAACAGCCTCTGCTGAGGAAGCCCTATTCATTGATTTCTCGTGGTTTAGATGTTTCTTCACCAATTTGAGAGGACGAAAAGCCAATGTCCCCGGTCATAACCGGGTCGATAAACCACTGCTAGTTCACTTGATTGTGGTAGCGGTCACCGTCTAGATTAAGTATCGAGATGTGTTAGACACCTTGAATGTTTGACCCCGTCCAAAGGGTGTGGTCCGATGGACGGGACACCGACACGCAATAGATTGCGAGTTTCACAAATCAACCCGCTCTTCCTTGTGGGTCAGGCTTTGACTAGTCAGAGGATGTTCAATGTGAATTCCCTAAGAAAATTCACCTGCCTTGGCCTGGGCAACCTGGCAGTATTTCGCCCACAAACAAATCATAAAACTTTCTCCTTTTTTATAAAGATTATGGTACTGTGATTTGTTTTGGCGAACAGTCTAGGTTGGGACGTGTGCAATACACTTACAGTTTACTAGTAAAATCACTCAATTAACACTTCCATATGCCAAGGAAACGCTTGTCAAACGGGCTAGTCAGTACACTGACGCAGTCAACAACCCAGCTTGTGATAAACTGAGCAGATAATGCAGTTTGTGTTCAATTGTCTATCCATTCTATTGATAACAGTGAAAGTGAAGCGTTTCCCTGTGTAATATCATGTTCAAAATATTCTTTAAAAGTTGTAATCATTTAGTGAATTTCATGATTATTAGATGATAATAAATTATCCGATCGCATGAGAACGAGAGTAAACGGTTCAGCTCGCGAGTTTTTCGACCCCGTTGCTGCGCAAGTTTTCAGGGGTCTCAAAGTTAAATCCTATTGCCGCCCTGCCCCCCCCCCAAGCCCGATCTTTAACTCCCTTTAAACCTGAAACGGATCATTTTAACAGGATCAATTCATTACGGAGTTAGTAATTGATTGCGCAACATTAATAGCGGGTCAAATTTGCGCACAACAAATGGCTTCCAGACGAATCAGCTGATCAGACAGAAGAAAATGTATCTTCACTCAGATGATTATCTAACAGAAACGGAAGTCCGAGAAAGTTGAAAGTTCTGTCACTTCCTTTGCGAATTACGAAATCATTCATTTCCTTCGATTTCCTCCCACCCCACCCCACCCCACCCCCAATTCCTAGCCTGTGATTCACGCAGATTGTTAAAAAGTGCACATTTATGCGGCAGAATATGATGGAATGAATGGGTTGATCACATGACAATCCGAACGAACGTTGTGACCGCGTCTGTCAAGATCGAACAAAAATGAGTGCTATTTTTTTTGTTCATGGAATCGATTAACAAAAATTTCTCATAGCTTTTTCCTTTGATCCTTGCTTGTCCGTCTGCCCATTTGCAGAGAAGCTGATCCTAATGTGTTGCCGAATTACGAATCGTATCTTTGAACGCAGTTCAATGCATTTTCTCGGAAACTGTTAGAACGGATTGTGGAAAAATCGACCGGATGATCAAACTGTCCTCACTTATCCGGTTCCAGTAACCATAGAGTCTTTTGATCAAAATAGTCAAAGGAGATTCTTACTATCAACGGTCTACCGCAAGGCAGCACATACGATCAAATCCTAAACTTCGAAAGTAATCATTCACACAGCCACAAACAATGCTGTGTTAGAACCCTCTTCAGGAGAATCCAAACGTATTGCAGCATTGACATACTCAAGAAGAAGGATACTTCCTCAGAGTGTTTGCTCGCAATGATTACACCCGCAACTTCATGAAAAGAAGTATAACTCAAAAAAGAAAGAAACAACAGACGAAGAGTCGAGAGCAAGAACGACCCTGTCATACTTTTCGGAAATGACTGCAAGACTGCTCAAATTCTATGGAATCCAAGTCGCCTACAAACAAACTGCCTGTCTAAGAAGATTTCTGTAAAAACCAAAGGAGAGAACAATGAACAGCAGTGTTATCAACAGAATAAACCGCAAGAACCGCCCAAAAACACTATATCGGACAAACTGAGAGAAAACAGTCAGCAAGGATCTGTGTACACCAATCGGCAGTCAGGAGACGTGACCCACTGTCTTTAATTTTCCTCCACAAAGATCAAGAAGGACAAGAAGGATTGACTTCGAATCAGTGAAAATTATCGACCAAGCCCGGTCAACACCCGCTACAGAGTTTCTGAGGGCTTGGCACTCTGCAATAAACTCAATAAACAGGCACATCAACCTTGATCATATGTACACGCCAATGCAACTTAAGGATCAAATGACGCAGCAAAATAGGCCAGGCCGTGACCTGAGAACGGACCCAAACCGCAATCAGGACAACCTCCTCCCCTCAGGCCCTCCCACCAGCTTAACGGCGAACCACGTCAAACACAGTGATAACAAGGGACAAAACAGTCGGCGGAGAAGAACACATACATAAACGAACGAGTACAATCAGAACATTGCCACATCACAACCACTGATGATGTCACCTCGGCTGGTGATGGAACGTTTGCAAACAAATTATCAAAATCGGCGAACAGACGAAATGGAATTCAGTTCACCTGAGCTTCGAGAACCGATTTTCAACAGTTTGTCAACATTTTGGATTATTCTCCATTTTAAATATTGGGTGCTCAGTTAGTAGACTATTCCTATACACAATGTATGTTCGTGAAGAAACTTCACTTTTGGAAATCGCATCAGATGGCTACATATATTAGCATATATATGTTTACACAGAGTGGGACATTCAACCTCCTTCCACCACACACACCCGCCTCCACCCAGAATCATCCACCCCAATATTACCACTTAATTATTTCTGTTTCCACTGTCCTTTCTCGATTACATCATATCCTATAGTGTACCTTACGTAACTATATCCCGCTCTTCCATTTTGACCATCATCATTATTGTATAGCGCAGTACAGTGAAGCGAACTTCATTGATCGCTGCCAAACTCATACTGCATACAAGATAAGTGAGAGTGTGTAAGGAGGACAGGGATTGGATCCTTTTTTAGGGACGGGGAAAGAAGCTGAACCTTTACGTCAACACACAGGGTACACAGTCCAACTGTGCGTACATGCTATTTCAAGCATTCTGGCCTGATAAAAAGTGACAACATGATTGCCGTTGCTATCGGTTCGCAGCCATGATCTTCAGAGTCTCCAACCATGCGGTGACGGAGTCTTTTGGACCCCATCCCGGAGGACGAGAGACGCCTACTCTATCTAATCGCCCTGTGTACTTCTTCATGCCTCGTATCCACGTCATTTGCTGGTCTCCACGTGGCTTTCTCCAGCCTGTAACAGCTACTACAAACAAGGCGCGTTTCGGTAGGCGACCGTCGGACATATGCAAAACGTGTCCTAACCAACGGAGCCTACTAAGCTGGATTCGATGCGATAGTGAGTTCTTGTATACATTCCAAACACCCGACGACTTACTTCTTAAGTTACTAACACGCTCACTCCGTTCGACCTGGTGCAGACTACGTAAGAGTCGACGGCAAGCAACGACGGGTGTCTTCTACCCGCAAATTCAAGGTTCACAACCGTAAAGTAGAACTGATCCTACAGTGGCGCAGTATACGCGACCTTTCAACTTTAGTGAAACGTCACATCGCCGCCACAGTTCTGCGTACGCTGCTCGAGCCTTAGAAATGTGGGCGGTTATCTGATTTGATGCGATACCGTCGTTTATCACACAGTTAACTAATTATGAGAAGTGTAAAACTTCAGCTAATTCCTGGCCATCTAACTTCTCGGCGATACCCAGTATCACAGCATCACTTTACACTTTGAAGGTTTAAAGCACATGACGCACGGAGCGACAGAACTTGCTAATATGTGAAGTGCTCCTTTTGCATCCTCGAGATATTCGAACAAGCAAACGATGTCGTCGGCATACTCCAAATCGCACAGCTTTTCTCCAGCTGCCCATTCAATACCAACATTTCGGAGACCACTTAGTGTGTTCTCCAGTACTTTTTCTACGACAAAATTGAACAGGGATGGCGAAAGAGGACATCCTTGGCGAACACCGCTGCTAGTTACTAACGATCTACTCAGCTCGCCGTTGACACTTACGCTGCCAGAAGTACGCGAGTAGAGTGAACTAGGTATGTTCACGT